TCTCAGCCGGTATGAGTATCCATAGTCTTGATAAGATGTTGGTGTGTCTCAGCCGGTATGAGTATCCATAGTCTTGATAAGATGTTGGTGTGTCTCAGCCAGTATGAGTATCCATAGTCCTGATAAGATGTTAGTGTCTCTCAGCCGGTATGAGTATCCATAGTCCTGATAAGATGTTAGTGTCTCTCAGCCGGTATGAGTATCCATAGTCCTGATAAGATGTTGGTGTGTCTCAGCCGGTCCAGCTCTGATAAGAGTTCACAGAAGTTCTCTTTTTCATTTCATAACTTATAACTATTTTATAAAATGTGTTACATATAGGTTTTACAAAGCCCAGGGGGAATGGTGGTGTAGAGGTTATAGAAGGTGAGCCTGTGATCAGAAGGTCGCCGGTTTGACTCTCCGGACTGACAACATCAAAATGTGGGTGGAAATGGTGAAACACCCACACCTGCCTCCACCCTCATTTGCCCCATTCTGGGCCCTTGAGCAAGGCCCTTAACCCCCACCATCTGCTCCACCGGGCACCCTAGATAGCAGCTCTCTGCTCCACACAGAGGGCTGTGTTAGCTCGGTGGTCTGTGGTTCTGTCAGGAAGGGCATCCAGTGTAAAGAAGATTGCCAAGTCTTCGAACAAGTTATTTGGCTGTGGCGATCCCTGAAGAAGGGAGCAGCTGAAAGAAGAAGAAAAAAGGTTTTACAAAGCCACATTGTTTAGCTTTTAATGTTTTTTATTTTCTTACACTTATTTAATTTTAAAAAGGAAATCTGCTAAAAGCAGTGAAATTGTTTTTGTTGTTTTTGGTTGCAGGTCTTTTATGGTAAATATATTAGTAGAAAAATGAAAATCGATATCATACACATACTGCTCAGGATTATGAGAAAGTCGGCTTTTTAACTTCAGCCGTTGAGGTGTAATTCTCCATGTTTCGTGTTGTGTGGGAGGTTTCTTATTCACGCAGATGTCACAAGAAGAGGATCTCTGTCTTCCATCTTCCCTATTCTCTCTCTTCCTCCTCATGTCTGTCTCGTCTTTGTGCTTTTGCTGTCCTAATTTTGTGGGGAGGCTGCAGTGATCTCGTTCTGTTGGCAGTCCAATTCTTATTGTTTGCCACTTTCTTTAACACCTCCATAATCATTTTCATTAGAATTTGCTGTCAGTCGCCGTCAGTTCCACTTCATCCAGTTGCTCTTATTTTTTTTATTTTTTCGATTTTTAATTTATTTATTTACTGGGGTTGCATCTTCCTACATCTATTGTCTGTTTTCTTCTCCGCTGGGAATTCAATTATGCTGGCTATTGTTTTATGATGTTGTCATGACATTTGGTGACGGATTCATTATCTCATCTCCTCGCAGGGATGTTGTTTCCTAAACTTCTGCTGAATGAGTATAGCTCTGTGAAATATTGATAGTCCGGAAACATTCAGTCTTGTTAGTAGCTGCTTTTTATCTTTAATTAACAGATTTTATTTTATTTTACTTTTTTAGAAATTATGTACAGTAACAAGTTTGAGAAGAGAAAAATTTAAAACTAGAGAAACTATTTTTGGCAAAAAATTCAGTGTGAATGCAGAGTGCTAAACGACTTTGCTGAAATGTGTTGTAGGATGAATTTTTATCTTATTTTTAAGTTTAAAGAACAGAATAGAGAACAAAAACAGTAGCTTAAGGCTAAAATTAGCTAAATATTGCTGAAAACTGATTTGCATTAGACAAGCAAAACAGAAGATACAATCAGCCAAACAGTAGCTAAATGCAACAATCAGCAAAAAACTAAGTGATGTTATTTAAAAGCTAAAAACAGATGCTTAAAGCTAAATAAAGCAAACCCTTAGCTAAAAGTTAGTTAACAAAATAAGATCAAACACGGGGCACATATTCTGAAGCACATTTCAAAGGAAGCAGTGTTTTTAAATGAATTTCTTAGATCTCAATTGTTGTCGTATGAGGGAAAACTTTTGTTAATAAAGTTAAAGAATAAAAAAAAAATACTAAAAGTTCCAGCGCACTGTTCCAGATAGAGCTTAACATTTCGATCCATTGATTGTTAAAAGAGCATTAAAATATGTGGAAGAACACTACCTGGCCAAAAAAAAGTTGCCACCAAAAAAAAAAGTCACCCACTAATATTTCATTGGACCGCCTTTAGCTTTGATTACGGCATGTATTCACTGTGGTGTTGTTTCAATAAGCTTCTGCAACGTCACAAGATCTATTTTCATCCAGTGTTGCATTATTTTTTCACCAAGATCTTGTATTGATGACTAGACACTAGGCATGATGGGTGCATCACTTCACCTGCCTCTCTTCTTACCCTGATGCGCCCATCACTCTGGAACAGGGTAAATCTGGACTCCTCAGACCACATGACCTTCTTCCATTGCTCCAGAGTCCAATCTTTATGCTCCCTAGCAAATTGAATCATTTTTTCTGGTTAGCCTCACTGATGAGTGGTTTTCTTAAAGCTACACAGCTGTTCAGTCCCAATTCCTTGAGTTCCCTTCGCATTGTGCGTGTGGAAATGCTCTTACTTTCACTATTAAACATAACGCTGAGTGCTACTGTTTTTCTTTGATTTGATTTCACCAAACATTTAAGTGATCGCCGATCACGATCATTCAGGATTTTTTTCCGGCCACATTTCTTCCTCAAAGACGATGGGTCCCCACTATCCTTCCAGTTTTTAATAATGCATTGGACAGTTCTTAACCCAATTTTAGTAGTTTCTGCGATCTCCTTAGATGTTTTCTCTGCTTGATGCCAATGATTTGACTCTTCTCAAACAGACTGACATCTTTTCCACGACCACGCGATGTGTCTTTCAACATGATTGTTTAAGAAATGAGACTCATTGCACCAGTTGCGGTTAAATAACTTGTTGCCAGCTGAAAGATAATCGCCCATGCAATAATTATCCAATAGGAGGCTCGTACGTATTTGCTTAGTTAAATCCAGGTGGCGACTTTTTTTTGGCCATGCATTGTAGTTTAATTGTAATAAATGTACACATAAAGTTATGAGCAAAAGCACATGTTAATTATTAATAAGATTATTTCTAATAACCTTATTTAGTTTATCTGAAATTATAGGTTTCTGTACAATCTAATGAATATGGGATGAAATGGGATTTTATACCAGGATTATTGAGCATGGACTTTGGTGTTTTGAACCAGTTTGACATGACTGTCGACGAAGGAGAGGGTGGGCACCAGAGACCATCTTAGCAACAACATAACTGTTTTTTTTTCCCCACTTTAGAGTAAGTTGTTGGGGGAGAGTCAGTTTTGTTTGTTGTTTCCTCCTCAGACTGATGAAGCCTTCTGGATGGAAGGCGAAACGTCTCGTCACAAAAAAAAAAAAAAAAAGAAACCGTCCAGATGACCTGACAGAACATGGTTGAATCTAATGAATAGTGCTCATCTGAAGTTTGCCAAATAAATAAATAAAAATCAATGATTGCAGTGTATATAATTGGGTCCTGATCTGTTAATTCAGCAGTGATTTAATGTTTGATTTTATTTGTAGCTTTTATTCATAAGATGAAAGGATCTCGAGTCGGAAGAAGCTCGTCACAGTTCTGAAGAAACACTGCAGCTGTTTTATTATTCGCTCCACAATCCTCTGGAGTGATAAAAAGGTTGAAGACTGACGGTGACTTTTGCGCGTTTGATTTCCTTCTCTTTTTTATTTAATTTTTTTTATTTTTTGTCTTGTTAAAATTTTCACAAAACCTCAGAGGAAAAAGAACCTCATAAAGCATGACATGATGGAGTATGCTAATTCAAAGACAGTGTGCCTTTCCCTTCATTATGTATGTCTTTAATAACGCTCTCTGTGTTGCAGGAAACGAGTTTGGCCATCCTGAGTGGCTGGATTTCCCCAGAGAAGGTAACAATCAGAGTTACCACTACGCCCGGCGGCAGTTTAACCTGGTGGATACGGATCACCTCCGCTACAGTCAGCTCTACGCTTTTGACCGGGACATGAACCGCACGGAGGACAAGTACGGCTGGCTGGCAGCCCCACCTGTAAGAACATCATACGCTTACTTTACCGAAGCTTTGGGCTAAAACTTAACACGAAATTTACTTGAAAATATACTGTGCCAGTATTTTCAAGCACACATTATTTGATTTATTCTAATAGGTTTTCCATGTTTTTAAAAAGAGTAATTAGCTCATTATAGATCATTTCTCCAAGGATGAACATAATTTTTGGCCGCCACACATCTGTTCAGTTTTTCTTAAGAAATAAAAGCCCCATAAATAGATCTCATTTCCAAAACGTCTTGTTTTTCTGGCTGCTGTCAGGTTGAACAGTAACGACTCTTTCTTGAGTTTCTCTCTTCACTTGCAGTGGAGAGAATCTACTGTTTTGCTCTAATACAAACTGGAAGTGTAGCTAAATTGACGGGGATTAGAAGCGAGAGGTTGTAATTGATTCAAATGAACCATCCCGTTTATCCCTGGGAATCAGTTCTCAGATTAAAGCTACTCCACCTTCCTGTGTTAACATGCTGACCTGCAGACAGGCAGAATGGGAGACATATTGCAAAGCATTATTATCCATCTGCCTGTGAGATTTTCTGAGTTTGTCAGTTTTTAAGTGCAGTCTGACTTACTGGGGAAATCCACACCCTGTAGAAGTAAATGGGACGGTAAAGCTGGGAAAAAAATTGGAGCCTTTTGAGAAATGATGGAGAATCTTGTTCCCAGAGGATGCTACAGGCAAGAAAGACAAATAAGTCTGCCACTAGTGCTGACCTGCTGCACACTGGAGGCTGTTTTTCTTGGCTGCCGCTGTGCTTTTAATGTGGAATCATTCAGCGATTGACAGCCCTGCAATATACCTTGAATACGTGATCTAATTATAGCATTTATGTAAATTATACCAGCAAATTGTGTGTTTGAAATAGAATCCGTAGGACTTCACAGTGGCCGTGTTATGTGTGAATTTGTTCTTTTGTGTGTAAAAGGCTGGGATGTGTGTGGGGGGTGGGGGTTAGGAGGACCATATAAATCACAAAGATAGCATCTTTACATCGGGTCTTTTCATAAACACCTCAGCAATATCGAAGCAGCCAAAATGATTTGATGCATCCAACAGAATGAAATGTGGTAATTGAATTAGAATTAAACAGTTTTCTTAATTTAAAGTGCTGGGTATGTGAAATGTGTATTAATCAACAGTTAACATCTTTAGCATTTCGGGTTAAGCCTATGTTTTACCTCTTTTTATCCCAGACGCAGTGTTTTATCTCTGCATTAAAACGGTGCAGATCGTGGTCAACGTTACAACTAAACATGCAAATTAGGAGCAGAGAAGGACAAACGTGCAGATGCTTGAGGAGCAGCCCAGAAATTAGAATCAGATGTTTATAGGGGCTATCGCACCGAACTGAAGTGAATCAAGTGTACGCAGATAATAAGGACCTTTCACTTGACTACAGTAATTCACAGTTCATAATGTGTTGTTGAGAGCAGCTGTTAGACAGGTCTTTGTTCTGATTGACAGCCCTGAAAGGTTAGCCCCACCCTGAAGCTTGGCTGGTTTCTTTGGTTTATGTGTGGAGGTCCTCGAGTTTGGTTCTGTGACGGTCATCTGTGCACCTTCATGTCTAGGTGTTCATTTGATTCAGTTCGTGAGCTTGGTGTTGTTGAGAGTAGAGCCCGACCAATATGGAAAGTTTGGCTATCGCCATTATTTGGAGGGTTTGTGCCAATAATATAATATAATGGATGAAAATCTTTTAGCTTTGTCCACCCCCAATAATCTAAGTAATAATAAGCGAGTGGAGCGGGGCTTGTTTATTTATCGTGGCTGTTAGCAACCATGAAGTTAAGCAAATCAGATCCATGCTATACGTAGTTCCTTGGTAGGTTTACAAGTGGTGCACTGGTCATAAAAACAGTCTTACTAACGTGCGTTCACATTTTCTATCCTCCACTATTCACCATAAAGTTATCAAGTCAGTCACATGTGGTGAAGGCCTAAATAGTACTGACTGCATCAGTGTTTATTTTTCTTTGTAGAGAGGTTAAGATTTCAATGTATTTCACTGAGGACAACAAAGATAGCATTACTATGTTATGAATTCAATTCAGTTGAATTAACACTGGATGAATCATTCTCTGAATTCAGTGCACTTTGTGTCTTACAGGTTTACCTTAAAGATTTTCATATAATGTAAACCACAAAATGTATTTAAAAACAAGAAATGGAAATATCCATGTGTCTTTGCAATATAATACACAAATATATTTTTTTATTATGTTTTGAAAAATTTAATGGGTTGCTGAGGCATAGAGGTCAGCCAAATGAGCATGTCCCTACTGACCAACATTACATCCTGATGCATGCTCAATAATCCAGGTAGAATAATCCATATAAAGTATCCATGTAAACATCCATATAAATAATCCATGCTCAATAATCCAGTTAGAAAATTAAAAAAAAAAGTTAAATCTGATCCTCTGGACATGTCCAGAGGATCAGATTTAACTTTTTTAGATGACCAACATTACCTTTTCACTGAATATAAAAGAAATAAAAATAGCCAATAATTGCAGGTTATGTCTACTAATATACACATTTGCTGGTATACTTTAACCTCAATGAAAGGAATATGAGAAAAATACATGAATTATTTATAAAATAGCATTTTTTTAATCATGTCCCCCCTAGTTTTGTTCAACCCCGTAACAGCATACCAATACCCCGCTGGTTCAATCCACTTTCTTCAGCACCCAGGAAGTGACATCGCTCAAGTCTTTTCTCACTCACACTATAAAGAGAGCTAAGTATTAGCGTTCTTTCCTACCTATATTTCCTCACAAACTGGAAGCTCAGTCCGACAGGACTAGTTGCTTTAGCTACTGACAACGTGACTAATGTAGTGAAGGTGATGCAGCTGAACACTAATGTTAGCTTGCTAACTTGAGGGGCACGTAGCCAATGACAAGTGGGTGGAGGATTGAAAAATATATATATTGTTTTGTTTTTTTTTACAGATCAGTTAAAATTAACTTACCATGCTCTGTTCAGCAAAATACGCTACACAGTATTGCTCCCTGCTTCGACTGTGCTGAACATTAAAAGTGAAACTTAAGGCAATGACTTGAAAGTAGTCTTCATGCGCCCTCTGCTGGATACCTTGTTCAATTACGGCTCGTTCGAGCATAGGAGTGAAAATTATAAGTGTTTATATTGGCCCATAATGGGACAGTTATCACCAATACCAATAGTTCCCCAAATGTCTATATCTGCTTAAAATATCGGGCCACCAATATATCGGCTGGCTCTAGTTGAGAGCCTTTTTTGTTGAAGATTTACATTCTGTTCTAAAATGTATCAGGAGCCGTTGGAAAGAAGCTCAAACTGGAGAAATGTCATCTCTTATTAGAACTCCAGCAGCAATTTAGATCAATTGAAAACTTTTTAATAAAGAATTACAATAGTCTATCTTAATATTGGACCACAGATGGACCAGTTTTTGTGCATCATTTTGGGAGGAGGTGTGTCTAGTTTTAGTACCGGTGATAGAGTATTGCACAGAAAAGCTCAGCTTAATATCGAGTTATTGTTTCACTCGTGTTATGACCTCTTATTATATCCAAACACATCAAAGTGCAAACACACCTGAAATGATTCCCAAAGATTTCAGGCTCACTAAGAGTACCTTGAATCTCTCTATATATATATTCATAATGTATTAACCTAATGCATTAAAATTTAACTACCTGGGTACTGCGAGAGAAGATTTAAGACAGGAGCCTCAAACTAAAGAAACCTGGATTTAAAAAGGCAGTGTTACTTAAAATACACACAGGATTTCAAGTAAATTCTTTAAATATCTAATTATAGCAGGAGATAAATTCTCAGTACCAGTGGCTTCTGTGACTGACCCTCCTGGACTATCAAGTCCTCCAGTGCAGAATGAACCGAGAAAAGTCCCGTTCACCTATTCAGGAACTTATACAATATCAGAAAGAGACTTTGTTGAACATCAGTCACAGATAATGCCAATAATGTTCAGAGATTCTGCTGTAATAACCAGAGAAGTCTGAATCCTCTGCAGAGCTTATCAATGACATTGTCAAGGTAATTGCACTTATTAAATATATTCTGTAGCCCGGCTCGTTCAATATTTCACTGAGCCGGGTTGATCCAAGGACGTTTTGTAGTTGAAATGAGAAGCGCAAGACGATTTGTCAGCAGTTTTCCTTATTGTCTCAGGCGCAAATGAATTTAGTGAAAATGGAAACATGGGGAGAGTTTGTTTGTGGTTTCTGGAAACAGCAGAGCTTCTAAATAACTACCGGTAATTGTGGAAATAAACTAAAGCTCCTATCAACAAATTAATCATTTGACATGTAACAAAGGAAATATCAGAAAAACAAAATGCAAGCAAACAGCCTTGTGTGAAATTGGCATTCCTTTACCGAAATACTCAATGTTGGTTTAAAATGTAATTAAACTACTTTTTTTTTTTTTGTAATTGTAAATTTAATTTGAAAATTAAAGTCCCAGCATTAAAGGAATGCATATCACCTGCCACCATTCATACCAGAAACTTTGATGTGCTAAGAAACGACTTTTATTTTGTTATAAATACAAATCTTTTTTTTACACATGCAAGTCTTTTTAACACAGACAATTTTTTTACAAGGTTACAAATCTTTTTTTATGCGTGCAAAATATTTATGATAGGAATTTGTGCCCATACATAAGCGCTAAGATAGCGCACTTACATAATGCTAGTTAAATGTTAGTAGATTCCTTTGTACTGAAACTCTGGCACAACAATTTCCTGGAGGATCAATAAAATTTTATCTTGTCTTAAAGAAGTGGAGCGCTACATCTGTAGCATCTTAGCTAGTGTGTCTGTATTGCATGCTGCTAGCATTGTGCTACGTATTTAAGTCATAAGTTTTTGCTATTAGCAAAATGCTCTGGGTTTTTTGTTGTTTGTTTGGGGGGTTTTTTCTCTTCTTTCGGCTGCTTCCTGCATTGGGGTCACCACAGCGAACTAAGTCGCACGGACTTGGCAGTTATTTTTACGCCGGATGCCCTTCCTGCCGCAACCATGGACCACAGAGCTACCACAGCCCTCTGTGTGGAGCAGAGAGCTGCTATCTACGGCACCCGGAGGAGCAGATGGTGGGGGTTAAGGGCCTTGCTCAAGAGCCCAGAGTGGGACGAATGAGGGTGGGGACAGGTGTGGGTGCTTCACCTACCCCACCCACATTTTTGATGTTGTCGGTACCGGGGCTTGACCCAGCGATCTTCCGATCACAGGCCCACTTTCTCTAACCTCTGCGCCACCACTTCACTAGCCATCTTTCCCGCGTATGTCCTAAATAAATTAGGATACACTAGTAAATGTCTTTTTTACCTGAAGCATTTTGTCTTTTCCCCTATTTTTATTTTCTTGGAGTACAGTAGTCCCTCACTACTTTGCGGTTCGACTTTCGCGGACTCACTCTTTTGCGGGTTTTCAAAGTAAGATTGAACATGACACACAGTTGGCTGATTGATGGATGAGCTGCACGATTGGCATGGATTTTTTTTTAATTTAAAATAAATTGTTTTAAATTTTTTGGCGCCTGCTGCCAAATAATTTAACCTGAAACCTGAATCTGGCACCTGCAGCCCACAGGTACAGGGAGAAGCTCCCTCATGCAGCGTGTCGTTCTCCGCTCTGCAGCGGAGGCATGGCCGAAAGCGCTGGCAGGTGGCAGAGAGAGCAGAGATCATGAAATGCTGTGCTTCTTTTAGAGTGTTTAGAGTTTAGAAGCATTGTTTACAATTAGGTCTGTCACGATAAACATTAAATTAATTAATCGCATGAAGAATAAAAATTATCGACCTCGTTTTCATTTACCGGCTTTATCATTTCATCACGTCTCTCTCTTTCTACTGAAGACACGGCTCAACTCTGGTGCTCTTCACTGACCCCTCCCTTTCTTTTTTCTCTTTAAATCTGTTTTAACCGTCCAAAATTGCGTTTTTGGATTGTTAAAAGCAGCTAAGCTGAGAAGCTAAGCTACGAGCTAAGCTAACAGGCCGACCTTGGGAATAAACCTCCGTCTTGTCAAGTTCAAAAATTCACGGTTGAAACCTGTGCCTTCGTGTAAAAAGTTGTTTTCCTCTGCAAAAAGAAGCTGAGAACTTCTTTACTGATTTTTTTTTTCTTCATTAAAAGCTTTGTGTGAAAAATGCTATGCTAAAGAGCTCAAATCACCGAACGTCACCATGTTGCCATGTCACGTCAAGGGCCCTCCCTCCCATTTTTCTTAGAGACACGCTGCTCAACTATCCATCCTTTGGTTCAAACAGTCTTATACTGCCATCAGGTGGTCAAAAATGGTACTACACTCCAAACAAATCAACATTTCTAAAATGTGACAATTAATTATTGTTAAATTTCAAACAATGTTATCGTTTATCGCAATAATTTCTGATACAATTATTCGCCCAGAAAAATTTGGTATCATGACAGGCCTATTTTTAATAATGCAAAATTGTAATTGGAAGTGTTTAAAACACCTTATATATATATGTGTGTATATGTATACTAAAATAAACTACTACTTGTACTACTATTCCTACTTTGCGGTTTTTCGCTTATCGACGGGGTTTGCAATAAATGAGGGACTACTGTATAACAGAATGCTTAATTTACATATTAAAAATCACTAAATCCCCCCCACCACCACCACCACCATCATCACCACCACCACTACAGGCACTAGGTTTGTCATCTTTTTCATCCCATGTGAGTTTGCAGGTATGGCCAATGTAATAATTACTTTTGGATAGTTCCATTAAAATCTGTCCACTGATTCATGAGACATTTTGCTAACAGTGCAGACACACACACGCAGACGCAGGAAAAAAACAAAGCTGTCTTATTGCTGGGCAATAAAAATACAGATTATCTTGTTTGAAACGGTACTCCTGAATGCAAATTGCAGTGAGAAAGAAGAGAACAGTGGACATTTTCTTTTGAACAGTTTCTTTATAAAATATTGTCAGTGTGAGTGCTGACTTCACAAATAGGGATTTAGCCAGCTCTCCCACCCCGGCTGAGTTTGACTGAACGGTTTCAGGTCAGTGTGATGCTGCAGGCGGTGGCAGAAACAGAAACTCGGCAGACTCTCAGACCTGACTTCAGACTAGAAGCCACCGCTTTGATATCAGGGAACCATATGTTTAGATCTCATGAGGCCGCTGCTGCTGGTGCACAGTTGAAAAGTATCACATAAATTTGATATTTCAGGCAAACATCAAGAGATTCTAAATGTAACCACACCGATCTGAACATCTGGGTTGACTGCTTTTAGAGTTTTACTTAAGTAAGACTGGACTGTGCAAACATGTTTGACTGCAACCTGATGGATGCAGGTTAAATTTGTTTTGCAATTCCAAAGCAGTTCCTGCCAGCTAGAGGAAGTTGGCATTACTTCAGAGCTCTTGGAGAAATGGACTGACTCCAGACTGTCAGCTCATTTCTTAACCTCCATCAACTCTGCCGGTCCAGTTGCAGGGCTGCTTATCATCTTGCTCAGCCGTGAATGCGCCGCACTGAAATTGGCTTGGGGAACAAGGCACCAAAAATAGGGGGTTGGGTGACATTGATAATCTCTGCTAATGACACGTTAGCAGCAGATTGCTCCGCAGGAGAGAGTGGTGCCTTTATCGTGCGCTGTCTGAAGCTGACAGCGTCTTCCTTGCACACCACCTTGGACCGCTGCTTTCTGCTGATGAGTGGCACCTGAAATTTGATGTGGGAACGCTTCCCGGTCTGTTTGGATATTTGCCCTCCCCTGATATAAGGTGCCCCACAATAACGATTTAAATCCAGCAGGAGAAAAAGGTAATGACTATTCATGAAGAACTACTTTATGAGCTTTTCTTTCCTCCCCTGTCTCTTTTCCTCCTCCAGGCCTTCATCAGTGCCAAGCATGAAGGAGACAAGGTCATCGTGTTTGACAGGGCAAATGTGCTCTTTATCTTCAATTTCCACCCAAACAAGAGCTTCCAGAGCTACAGGGTTGGTGTAGAAGCATCAGGAAAGTATCCTTTTTTTATTATCATACTTCGTTTTTAATTATGTATTTTTTATTTTCTGACATTCATGTTTCTGCACACTTGAAGTCTCTCTTAGAATGATAGTGTTTGTTTTTTACTGCATTAATAAAGCTGTGCTTCACAAAATCACTATTTTAGCTGAGACAGTACAATTTTAAAGGGAGACTTAAAGATGATATTCACAATCCGCGATCAGATTATTAGACTTTTGTATTTCACTGACAGTTCTCTGTGGAAACATGTGCAACCCAACCCTCCATTAACGTTGGCATGTTCTGTAAAATGTAAATAAAAGCTGAATGCAATGATTTGCAAATCTCATAAAACCCGTTTTTATTCAAAATAGAACATAGTCAAGATATAAATTAAGATTGTACAATTCATTGGAGAAGAAAAAAAAAAAGGTAATTCTAAATTTTATGGGAGCAACACGTGATGGGATAGGGGCAAAAAAAAAATACAATAAAAGCAGTTTCTATGAATAAGAAACAGCCGAAGGAGCATTTTGCTACATTTTAGGTGAATTGGCCACAAGTCAATAAAAGGACTGGGTATAAAAAGATGCATTTAAAAAATAATAAATATAATTTCTCCAAAGCTAAGATGGGCAGAAAGGTTTACATGTTTGTGAAAAATGGGACTAAAAATAGTTGAACAATTTCAGAAAATTGTTCCTCAATGGAGAACTGGGGAGACTTCGAGGATCCCATCATCTACAGTTCGTAATGTTCATCAAAATATTTCAAGAATCTGGAGAAATTTGTGCTCAAATATTACTTAAAGCTCTATCATGCAAAGAAGAAACCAAATGTGAACACCATTCACAAATGTGCCATCTACCGTACTTTCCACCGTACACGTCGCACTGCCGTATAAGTCGCTTCAGTCCAAAAATGTCTAATAAAGTGGAAAAAAAACATATATAAGTTGCTTCGCCATAGAAGTCGCAGGATATGCTAATTTATGCAAAAAGGTGCGACTTATATGGCAAAAAGTACGGTACAAACTAACTTGTTTAAAATGGGCCGAGGCAAGATAAATGAAAATGTGAAATTCTTTGTGAAAATCACAGACACCATGTTGTATGTACCAAACAGAAGAGGGACCATCCAGTCTGTTATCTGTACATCAGCTTCTCTGATGGTATGGGGGTGCATTAGTGCCACTGGCATGGGCAGCTTACACATCTTGGAAGGCAACATCAATGTATTAAAGTCTATACAGGTTTTAGAACAACATATGCTCCCAAAGACCCAGAACTGATGGACATCTAGAATCCTACATCTGACAAAAAAACACTCCCCTCCAAAAATTCCAAAACCCAATCTCCACAGCTCCTAGATGTTTACAGCCTGTTGTCAAATAAAGAAAGGCTGCTTCCCAACTTTAAGATGTTGCTGCCATTAAAACTACCTTTTTTATGATACAATTTCCTAGCTTCAACATTGAACATGTTTACTGTGCTCCCTATGAATAAAATTTGGGTCTATAAGATTTTCTCGTCGTTGCATTTTGTTTGTATTTGTTTTTTACACAATGTCCCAACTTATGCAGAATTAAGGATGCACATGTGGACAGTTTCTCTGCCAGCTCTACATCTGGTATAGATTGATTATTCCTAAATATTCTAATAAGCCTGTACATTTTATTGAGCTGGATCAACGAGGTCACTTTCAAACAGAGCTTGACGTTAAACCATATTTCCCTTAAATCTGCTGCATTTGCAAACTCTGCAGGTAATGTGGCAGAGGATGCTCCTAGGTTGTACATCTAATGTCAGCGCCCTCACCAACATTGTCTTGTGGTTTATTTCCTATTAAAGGCTAATGCAGGTTATAAATAAAGCTCCTTATTAAAAAGTCAACCCTCAGCTATTCTCAGGAGCAAATACCCTACATTTCTTTGGCCTTTTTGTCAGATGTGCGTCAGCCTCTCCTTTAATCTTTACTGCCGACTGTTGATGGTCCTGAATGCTTGCCTTGTCTCCTAATTAAACTCCTACAAGTACATTTTCAGTGTGCCACAAGACATTTGGGATACTAAAAATCTCCCCGGAGAAGACTCTCGGCTGAGAAGTGGATCAGAGATTTAAGCACTGCGTGAGACGTGTTAAAAATAAACGAGACTTGTAACGACCCTCACTTTTTAATGGCGTTTCTTTCTCCGAGGCTGGTTCTTTTTAGCTGTAATTGTTGAGGGAAATATGAATCAGTTGTTTACTGTAATCTTGTTATGCTGTTAGAGGAAAAATAATATCAGAGCCCAGTGATTCAGAAAGCCTCTCTTTTAGCAACATTGGTTGTCAGGAATTTAATGAGTCCCACAGTTGTGATTACAGCTGGCTTAATGATCAGGAATGTGGAGGGGGACAGGAAGCTGACAGATCTGTGTTTATCAGAAAAGACACGGCTCCCTCATGAAGCTCACGCCATCGGTTTCCCGCGTGGACATGAGGCTCTGTTACTTCTTCGGTTATGATTAAACTGATGCGATGGTGGAGTTGTGTTGTTTTTCTCTGGACGTCAGCAGGTGAAATAACCATTCAGTACTGAACTGTGATGTTTTAATTCAGTTTTTGTTCCTCGTTTGCATGTCAGCATGCTGAAGCCCCGAGATTAACAACATGACGGGACTGTGAAGAATAAACTCGCTATCATGAGTTCAAAAAATATCAAAGAAAACTGAACGCTGAGGTTGTCGACGTTTTGTCAAACCCTGACAATAACACTATTTGCAATATTGTGATATTGCAAGATGCCGCACTCGGTGTTTGTGCTGTGAAGAACACTCTGCTACTACCACTTCCATTCTTAGCTCGAGATCTGTGCATTAGACTTGCATTCGGGCCTAAAAAATCCAACTCGACCCGGCCCCAGCCCGTAGCCGTCATTTCCGAACCCCACCCAACCTGACGAATTAACACTAATGACAGGTCCGAACCCGAAAAACAAAAAAACATTTTTAATTAAGCTTTGACTGCTTATATAGTTATTAACGGTCAGTGGACACGCGCGGCTGTAAGGGGCAGAAGATCGGAGCGGAGGGGGGTGCTTGATCTTTCATGGCCGTCAAAGCGCATTAAATCCCTGCTTCTGCCTGCATTCTGCATTATTCAGACATGGACCCTGCTCTGACATGTCGGATATTTTGGGTTCTCACCTGTTTGGGTCGTCGGCCATGTGCGTCCGCTGAATGCAGCTGAATCTTTTTAAATTACACCATCACCTTCTAAAGGAAAGAACAAAGATGTCTCATTTGTTTGAATGTCTTTCTTTACTTTAACTGACCTTTTTTTTTTTTTTTTACCTCTTTCAAGGCCGGTCAGCACACGGCTGGTGAAGTTATGGCAAGCCATGTTGCCATATAATTGGATCGTCAGCCAAGCATGTCTGTTGACGCAATCAAAAGCCTGACACCAGCCTGGCCCGCACATTAAGCACATTATTAGGGACCGGCACTAATCCAGGTTGGGTCAGGCCGGGCTCCGGGATCGGGTTAGAAATGAAAGCTCTACTGTGCGTTTCACCAAGTTATAACTATGTTTGTGCTGACTAATGTCCATTAAATGTGGTGATCCTTTTGAATTGTGGCACCTCCGAAAAGTTGTCAGTTTTACATGTCAATCTAATAATTACTTCATGACAGATTCATTAAAATCATTCCAGTGGTTTAAGATATTTTGCTAACAGACAAACAGGTTGACTGACAGCAACAGTTAATGCCAAGGTTTCATTCAAAGATGTTGCCCGCTGTGTGTTGCGCTCATGTGTTGGGGTCGATACTCGGCTAAATTGATTGGCTTAAAGCCTTTTTCATGTTTTCTAACATCAGGTGCCCGTGGCGGCCATCTTGAATGGGCTCATTCAAAAATCTTATCAGTTGTAGAAGTCAACTCCGTAACTGCTTTCTGAAAGTTTCATTAAATCCGTTCATTGTTTTTTTAAATATTTAACAATCAATTTATTTCAGCAGTTTGAAACATGGGGTCAGTTATCTTTCTGAGTATAAGATGAGAAGTCTCGGCTACTATCACGCCAAAACTGCGCTCCATATCAATAAAATCAGCTGAATTACAGCAGTTTTTGTGTTTTCTGATGTTGCTTTGCTTCAGCAGCCATTTTGTATTGCTTTGACTGCAGATGTTTGGTAGTCCCTCGCTACTTCGTGGTTCGTTTTTCGCGGACTCACTCTATTGCGGTTTTTCAAAATAAGATGGGAAATGACTCACAATTGCCTGATTGATGGATGAGACGCGCGATCGGCATGGATTTTTATTTAAAATAAATTATTAAAAAATATTTAGCACCTGCTGCGCCTGTGTGCGGCCCACAGCTGCAGGAGAAGCTTCCTCCTGCAGTGTGTCGTACCTCCGCTCTGCAGCGGAGAAGTGGGCGTGGCCGAGAGCGCTGGCAGGTGGCAGAGAGCAGCCGAGGCAGAGAGCTGAAATCATGACATGCTGTGCTCTTTTTGAACGTTTAGAAACATTGTTTAGAATATTGCAAGAGTATAGGAAGGGTTTAAAATGCCTTTATTTTCATATATATATATATATATATATATATATATATACTAAAATAAACTATTACTTACTACTTGTATTACCCTGCGATAAACGAGGAACTGTTGTACAACCAGTAATACTTTCTGAAAGCTTCACTAAATTATATTCAGTGATTTATGGGATATTTTGCAAACAGTTTCAACAAACAAACCAACATGGGCAAAAACATTATCGCTTTGCAACAAAAATGGTTGAATCATGTCATCTGGACTTCATTTTTTTGTTAAAAAAGAAACGTTTCGCCCCTCATCCAAGAGGCTTCGTCAGTCTGAGGCCTAGCCATCTGGTATTACCCAGAAGCCACCCTGACTCTTGTGTTTCAAGCCTGCCTCAGATACCCCTGAAGTCTGGCCTTTTCACTAATGGTTTCAAAAACACAAAGTTTGTTTTCTCAGTCATCCAGGTATATAACAACAAAAATGGT